GACTAAGCCTGGTGAGGCAACGAGGACAACCTGCAGTGTTGGTGACCAGGGCCCGCGTCCAAGTAGGTCGGCAGCATCAGCCATCCCTCCTCTCCCTCCTCTCCTCTCGTTCAGCACACAATCCCATCTGGGAATTCGGCCACGGGCAACACTGTTCACCTTAGGAAGCCTGGTCCAGGTGTCATTTGTCGAACCTCACAGCTGTTCTGCAACCACCACACAGGCTGGAAGGAGGAGTCTCCTGGGGACACACTCCTTTGCCCAGAGAAAGAGAAAGAAGTAACAAGAGGGAAAGGCCCATCGAGGAGCCCTTCCACGTCTGAGCTGTGGGAAAGGCTCTCTCTGTGCTGTTCCCAGCTGCCGCCAACCAGGGCTCGCTGACATCCGGAGGCTGGTCCGCACCGTTAAACACGCCCTCTACCAGGGAAGCCCCTGCTCCTTACAATGAACAAAACCACCAGTGGGAATCCCGGTAACGTTGGTGGAAGAACAAAATGGTTTAAATGTCTGTTCCTGGTAATTTACATCATGGGCCTGAAAATACTCATCCAACCTGACCCACAGGACTTACCGGCTGCCTGCCAAGGACCTCACCACCCCCTCTCGTGGGCCCATGTCACAGACACACACACGGAGGCAGGACGAGGATACGTGGCTGGTCGGAGTCCCAAGACTTGGGTGCTCAACTGCCTCCTTGGGGCCTGGCTGCAGTCCTGTCCCACACTGACATCACCTAGCCCAGTGGTCGGCAAACTGTGGCTCAGCAAACCACGGCTCGCGAGCCACATGCGGCTCTTTGGACCCTTCAATGTGGCTCTTCCACAAAATACCGACTTCTGTGCATGGGCCACTAAATTTCAATCACACTATACATGGGCGCCCACACGTGGTATTTTGTGGAAGAGCCACACTGAAGGGGCCAAAGAGCCACATGTGGCTCGCGAGCCACGGTTTGCCAACCACGGACCTAGCCCATGGCAGGCACTCAAATATGAACCCAACCTCCCCATTTCTAGAAACGCTGGGTGTAACAATGCTCACTGCAATGTTTATAAATATGATTGCCAAAAATTAGAAATAACCTGAGTTCCAGTCCTATGAGAACATAGGCAATAATGCTGAAAAACTGTTTTTTTAATAATATTCAGGAGAACCGAAAAAAGGCATGATAAAATATTAAGTGAAAAAAGAGGATACAAAACCATAGCTTATTAAAATTCCCATTGTTTTAAGAAAAAACATATATAAGCCACTGGAAGGTCAGAGAAAGTAAGTATCAAATGCTCTCCCTCACACGTGAAATCTAATGAACAAAATAAACTGATGAACAAAATAGATCCAGAGACATAGAACCATGGAACTGACGAATTTCAGAGAGAAGGCGGGGGGTGGGGAATTAACTGGGGAACTTATATACATATATGCATAGCCCATGGACAACAGTGTGGTGATAGCTTGGGAGGGGTGGGTGCCAGGTGGAGGGAGTCAATGGGAAAAAAAACAAAAAACAAAAGAAACATCTGTAATACTTTCAACAATAAAGATAAACTAAAAAGAAAAAGAAAAAATATATAAAATACTGGAAGGCTATCTATCAAAATGTTCTTAGTGGCTTCTGGGGAAAAAAAAAATGGTTGAGCCCTGGCTGGTGTGGGTAGGTGGTTAGAGCATCTGCCCTCAGACCGAAGGGTTGTGCATTTGATTCCTGGTCAAGAACACATACCTGGTTTGTGGGTTTGCTCCCCACCCCTGGTCAGGAAGCCTGTGGGAGGCAACCAATCAATGTGTCTCTCTCACATTGATGTTTCTCTTTCTATCTCTCTCCCCCTCCCTCCCTCCCTTCCACTCTCTCTGAAAAGCAATGGAAAAAATACCCTGAGGTGAGGATGAACAAAAAAACAAAAAAATGAGATAATACATGGAACGTACTTCAAACGGGACCCGATGCCAACCACATGTCCCAGGAAAGTTCCTGTCCTCCTGTACGACTGGGATTGCAATTGACCCACTTTCTTCTTTACGGTCTTCTGAAATTTCCAAATTTTCTACACTAACAAACATTGCTTTAATAATTAGAACGCAAGTTTTCTTTAAGAAAAGAAGTAAAAAAACTGGAAGGAGAAAAGACCAAAATGCTAACAGATTGGGAAAACACAAACCTGTGAATTACACTCAGGGGAGGGGGACAAAGGGTATGATGTTGGGCAAGTCCTGTGCCTAAACGTACACAGAGGGGGCTCCTATCATATGACACCCTAAAAGGGAAAGCAGTTGGGTCCTGTTACAGAAAACATTAAAGGGGTAACGCTCTTGAACATGGAATCAAATGAATCCCTTTTGGGCTTAGCAAAAGAATATGCTTAGATATGAACAGCAACTTTAAAATAAGGCCAAATGGCTTATTGGACTTCATCAAATTAGACTTTTGGCCGGTGTGGCTCAGTGGTTGAGCATTGTCCTATGAACCAGGAAGGAGGTCACGGTTTAATTCCGGTCAGGGCACATGCCCAGGTTGTGGGCTCAAGCCCCAGTAAGGGGCTTGCAGGAAACAGCTGATCAATGATTCTCTCTCACTATTGATGTTTCTATCTCTCTCTCCCTCTTCTTCTCTGAAATCAATAAAATACATATTTTCTTAAAAATTAGAAACTTTTGTGTTTCAAAGGACACCATCAAGAAAAAGCCTTCAGCCCTAGCTGGTTTCGCTCAGTGGATAGAGCGTTGGCCTGTGGACTGAGGGGTCCCAGACTCGATTCTGGTCAAGGGCACATGCCTGGGTTGCAGGCTCAATCCCAAGTAGGGGGTGTGCAGGAGGCAGCCGATCAGTGATTCTCTCTCATCATTGATGTTTCTATCTCTCTATCCCTCTCCCTTCCTCTCTGAAATAAATACACACACACACACACAATATATATATATATACATATATATATACACACACACACACATACACACATACACACACACACATATATATGTATGAATATATATATACATATATATACAGATATATATAAACTTTTTTTAAAAGCCTTCAGAATGAGAGAAAATATTTACAAATCTGATAAAAGACTTATATGAGATGTATAAAGAATTTTTACAACTCAACAGTAAAAAGACACATAACACAATTAGTAGTGAGCAAAGGATATGGACAGACATTTCTCCAAAGAAGATGCACCAATAACCAGGAAGCACATGGAAAGATGCCCAATATTATTAGCCATCAGGGATACGCAAATCAAAACCACAATGAGATTCCACTTCACATTCACTCGGATGGCCAGACTCAAAAGGACCAACGACGACAAGTGATGGCTAAGATGTGGAGAAGCGGGAACCCTCACACCCTGCTGACGGGAATGTAAAATGGTGCAGCCACTTTAGAAAACAGTCTGGCAGTTCCTCAGAGGCTTAAACACAGAGTTACCATGTGCCCCAGCAATCCATTCCTAGACATACACCAAGAGAAACATATGTCCACTCGAAAGTGTACACAGGTGCGGTTCAGCTGGTTGGGTGTCATCCTGTGTACCTAGGGGTCACCAGTTCGATTCCCAGTCAGTGTACCTGCCCGGGCAGTGGGCTCAATCCCTAGTAGGGAGCGTGCAGGAGGCATGCCGATCCATGTTACGCTCTCACATCCATGTTTCTCTCTCCCTCTCCCAGCCTTTCTCTCTAAAAATCAATTTAAAAATCTTTCTTAAAAAAACTTGTACACAAATGTTCATAGCAGCATTATCCATAATAGTAAACAAACAAACAAACACAAAATACAATCTAAATATCCATCAACCAATGAATGGATAAACAAAATGTAGTGTTATCCATACAATGGAATATTATTCATCCATAAAAGTCATGAAGTGCTGAGAAGCTACAACATGAATGAATCTTGAAAACATATGCTAAGGGAAAGAACGAGACACAAAAGGTTACATAATGTATGTTTCCATTTGTATGAAATGCCCAGGAAAGGCAATTCTGCACAGACAGGAAGTAGGTTAGTGGTTGCCAGGGCTGGGGGCGGGGGAGTCTACAGGGACAATGGCATGGAGTACTTCCTTTGGGGTGATGAAAATGTTCCAAAGTTTATTGTGGTCATGGTTGTGTAACTCTGTGAATACACTAAAAAAATCACTGCCCGCTACATGTTAAATGGCTGTAGGGTATGTGAGTTTTATCTTAATAAAGCTGTGTTTTGGTGGGTGTGTTTTTCAAGGGGAAGCGGATTCAATGGGACCTTGTCTCCCTTTTGGGCTGGCCACCTGAATTACAAATAAGACCTCCTGCTCCTTCCTAATTCAGGACACATCTCAAGTCCGTGACTACCCTTAGGGAAGATCAAGTCTTGCACGCACTTGAAAGGTACTGTATTTTCCATGTATGACGCCCCCATGTATAAGACGCCCCCCACTTTTCCAACCCAAAATTAAGAAATCAGTATTTTAAACATTTTGCTGGTTTTCCTCTTAAGGCCTTCTTCTTTTTTGGCATCTTAAGGAGTTGTTCTTCCTGTTTTCTCCACTGTCTGATCATACACCCAGTGGAAGGAGGTCCAAATTGTCTCTCTGCAGCTCTATTTCCATGCTCTTTGCATAGCTGACTACATTCAGTTTGAATTTTGCAGAGTAAGACAATCGCTTACCAGTTTTATCTTTTTATTTTTTGACATCTTTATGGGCTCAGAACGCTAAGGTCCCTGCTGCATCTGCGCACTCTCCACCTCCACCTCCAATAAGCTGCTGTCAGTAACAATAAGGCTCGTGATTGAAGGAAGCCTGTTTGACAAGGTGTGGGCAGCTACACACACGCGTGGGCCTCCCGCCTCGGCTGACTTCCGTGTATAAGATGCCCCTCATTTTCAGCCTAACGATTTTAGAAAAAATAGCGTCTCATACATGGAAAAATATGGTACCTGCCTCGCTGCCCTGCCCCTCCCTGGCTCCTGCCTGCCCTGATAGCTGGATCCACGAGAGCCACACCAGCCCAGGGTTTACCTCGTCCGGGCTGGACGCCTGGTACACACGGCACGAGTCTTCATACTGCTTCTCGGCCTCGGCCTGGTCGGTCACGCCGTTGGACTCGTACACGGGGGTCACGTTGTGGCAGAGTGCGATGGCCTTCACGGCCTCGTGCACGCGGCTGCTCATGGTCCGCCGGACCTTGGTGGTGATGGTGGGGCCCTTCTGAGCAGGCGGGTCCTGGGACTGCTGTGAGGAGGGAACGACAAGGAAGGTGACCACAGGCACAGAAGGTCTCCAACGTGTGGAAGTACAGCCTCGCGGAGTGGGCGTTTCTAACTGCGGGCTAGCGGTAACTCCCAGGGTATCCACGGCGACGCTGCAATAAATGGCGCGTGGTTTTCAGGGACCCAGTCATTGACGCTCAGCACAACAACAAAAGCCACACAAAATAAGTAGGAAAAATAGTAATCTAGTGACTGTGGGTGATTCTGCCTGCTAATGTGTGAACCTGTCTTCCTTTGGGGGTGTCAGGGAGCCTCCAACAGAGTGAGGTCCCACCATGCTGCCAGCGGTCCTGGTGCTCAGACCAGGGCTTCTCCACCGCGGCACTGCCGGCATTCGGGGCCAACGCTGTCTGTGATTGGGACCATCCCGTGCCTGTGGGATGTTCAGCTGCACCTCCAGCCTCACCTCCTAGATCCCAGAAGCACTCCTAGCGGTCTCAACGGATGCTGCCAGAAGTCCCAGGGAGACCAAGCCCGTCCCTGGTTCAGAACCAGTGTTTTTAACGTACACTCTTCGGGTTCACGTAAAAGACGGCAACGGTGACTGGTGCTCTACAGGCGTAACGACCATCAGTGACACGTAACTCGGGGCAGGGCCTGGGACAGTAACAGGAATGACACTCCTGGATGAGCGTACTGAACACCTGGTACCTAGCACTGCACTTAAGGTAGGTTCCCAAGAGCAATTTAAAGATAAATAAATAAATATGTTTTTTAAAAAGAGACTAATTTTATGTGTGCTCAACTTTTGCTTTCTACGCTGACTTCAGACCCTTCACTTGTGGAAAAAGCTACTCCGCCCTCCTGTTCAGTCCTGTCGACACATGGCTGAGCCTCCTGCATGGGGTAAGTCTTGGGGAAAGTGGCTTCAAGCAACATGGTAAAAGGTATTAAAGGCTAACCACCCTGAGCTTTATTCTTGGATGGGTTGTGAAAAGATGTGTGACTTTAAGCCAGTCCCATCTGCCCTCTGGGCCTCAGCTTCCTGCAAATGAGGGGAGTGGGGTAGGGGAGTGGGGTCCACACCCGAGTAGCAGGAATCCCAAGCCACCCGCTCAGCATCCCCAAAGTGGAAGGCAAGCAGCCCATTCCTATCTGTTGAATTACACATCGGGTGCCATGAAGACCTTCCTGGAAAAAGGGTTTCTATTGCCTTGAAATGTAATTTAAAAAATTAAGACCACCAGGCAATGATCACTTGTTAACAGTTTATGTCTCAGATGCCCTCCCATGGCCCATGGGGCCCGTCTGATTAGCCCCTGCCCATCTCTGCAACCTCCTATGCACTCTGCTCCAGCCACCCTGACCTCTTCAGTTCTTTGAACACGGCCACGCTGCTTCCTGCCACAGGGCCTGTGCACTTGCTGTGCCCTCTGCCTAGAATACCACTTCCTGGGTCTCTGCAGGGCCGGCTCACTCCATCTCATCATGGAGGTCTAAGTTCAAATGTTACCTCCTCAACAAGGGCTTCTCTGAGCCCCCTAACTCAGCGGTCGCCAACCTTTCAGACCTCATGGACCACCAGTGGTCTGCGGACCACCAGTTGGCGACGGGCCACTGCCCTAAATCCTATTACCCTGCCTGCCCTCCCACAGGAAGTCATGCTTCCTGGGGCTTATCGTCCTCACTGTCTACAACTGGCTTGTTGACCTGATGATTCTCCTGGCCAACCGTGAGGACAGCTGTCTGCTGCATCCCTAGTATCTAACGCAGGAGATCCATGCTGAACAAATGAACGATTTACTGCTCCTAAGGTGATGGAGGGGGTCCTGACTTGACATGAATTTTTTTCCATCTCCAAGAAGAAATAAATGTCAAATGGACCCACATCAGGTCCAGATTTTAAACCACAGTTTTGGACAATGGGCCTATCATAGTCTTCCTGCCTCCACGGCTGCATCCGGGAGCCTGAGATGCTGGCGGACATACTGGAAGCTACATTCCATTAGAAACATATTTTGCCCAACAGAGGAGAAGCAAGCTGGTCTCTGAGAGTGAAATGTGTTTTGCGCCTGTGAACACATGCCCAAAATAGAGAACAGATGGGCTACACGAAACAAGAAAATGACTTTCGTTTAATTTTTTAATACTATTTTTAGCAGCGGCTTTGGACTCCTCGGGTAATTAGACAATTACTAAATTATTCTTGTCATGCAGGCGCGCACACCGCCCTGGCTTCCTGCTCTGTTAACCTCTGGTGTCAAGAGGACACGGGTTTCACTTCCAGGCCAGAGGGCACTGCATGGTAACGATAATTAGAGTAATGAATCAGAACTGCAGTTTAAATGAATCATTATTTGCCGAGTGCTTTTGACGAGAAAGACTTTAACTCCAATATGACACCGAGGCCCGTGGGTTTACAGGACGGCTCTCCGTGGGACAGGCTCCGTCAGGAACACGGTTCCCTGCGTTCTGTGATGTCTGTCCCAGGCACGGACGCGTGTCCTCGCGGCTGCCCACCTTCCTCAGCACCTGGACCAAATTATGATTGAGCGCGAGGGGCAAGAGCGAGACCTCTGACAGAGCAATTGCTTTGGCTGGCAAGTGTCAGTAACAGCGGGTTAGAAGGAAAGGCCGCGTGGAGGACCGCCACAAACCTTAGGATTCTGTAAGCAACCTGATTTCATGTCTCCCCGAGAAGACAAATCCTCCCACTGTCATCCCAATGGGGGACAAGCCAGGCAGCCCCAGTCGCCGCAAGGACCCCACTTTCAGGACAGGGGACCATTTGACAACAAATCAGAAGATGAGGGTGCCCGGCCCCCACCAGCAGGCGGCTGGTTTAAGTCTCCACGCTCATTGATTTCTCTCTGACATTAGCCCGTATCCCCTTCCCTATGACTACGGTGCTTCAGGGAGGAGGGGTCAAAACCACTGGTTCTGAAATTCTCTTAATTTTCAAGTAAAAGGCTCGTTCAGACACCAAATGGTGATCCACGTGTATCCTTAGACCCTGGTAATTACCAGGGGCTCTGCCAGTGTTAGTATTGGGCCCCGTCTTCAAACATCCGCACATTCCCCATATGGAAGAGTTTCACATTGTACAGTGTTTCTCTCTCGCCTCCTGCCCACAGGCCCTTTAACCTACACCCATTTCTTCTTACTTAAAAAATACCAGGGGAAAATCAAAACAGATGTGGACACAGAGGCAAGTTCCCAGTCTTGCTGCCCTGGGGCAACCACGGGTCCTCTTAGGGAGGGGACAGAGAGGCCAGCGCCGCTCCTGAGAGGTTAGGAGTTGGGAGGGGAATCAAGACCTCCATGTGCAGCCAAAACCGGTTTGGCGCAGTGGATAGAGCGTCAGCCTGCGGACTGAAAGGTCCCAGGTTCAATTCCGGTCAAGGGCATGTACCTGGGTTGCGGGCACATCCCCAGTGGGGTGTGTGCAGGAGGCAGCTGATCGATGTTTCTCTCTCATCGATGTTTCTAACTCTCTATCCCTCTCTCTTCCTCTCTGTAAAGAATCAATAAAATATATTTAAAAAAAAAAAAAAAAGACCTCCATGTGCAGAGGCGCCGGACGTGGGCCCTGGGGGTGGGGTCCTCGCACCACCCAATGCTTCCGAGCCACCCTACAGCGCCCCGCCCTCAATGAGACATGAGGATCCATGAGAAACAGGCCCCTGCTTCCCATTACTGACCCACGGCGGGGCCCTTCCCAGCGAGAACTCCAGTTTGTGTGACAGGAAACAGCAGCACAAAAATTAAATACGGAGCCACCGTGGACATAAGCGTTCTTTCTAAATGCAATTAAAACTTCACCACCACCTCATGGGCGTTCGTAATGTTAACGGGCAGTGTGGATGGGTGGCAATAGGTAAAATCACACGATTGAGGGGAAGGAACTCCTGTTTCGATTGTCCCACTTCACTCCCTAAGTAAAGCCCAAAGCTGGTCACGCATCAACCTCAAAGGGGCACCCCCACAGAGGCAGGCTCGGGGCTGCTACTTCCAAATGAACCCACGGAGTTACAGGCTGATGGATGGTGAGTAAGTACAGCATTCACTGTTGAACTGCAGATATCTTAGAGCACGGCAAAGGCAGCACATTTCAATGCCATGACATCGAACCAGACAGCAAAGCGGTTCTCAACTGGGGTGCTTTGGGCTACCATCTGGCAATCTCTAGGGATATTGGGGTTGTCACCACCGGGGACAGAGGAGGGAACGTGAACTACAGACAACCTGATGGTAGAGGGCAGAGATGCTGCTAAAATCCTAGAACAAAACACAGGACAGCCCTCACAACACAGCCTTATCCAGCGCAATGTGCATTCCCACAGCTGAAAACCACATTAGCCTGTCAACACTAGGAAGCCAGGGCCAGGGAGTGGCAGACACCTAACTGCGCAGGCTGGGTCCCGTCCATTTAAAATGTCAGTATTGTTCATCGTGGGTTTTCCCATGAATTTTGACTACTGAGGCTTGGGGGGCGGGGAGGTTCATCCCATTAAGCTTTGCTCTCAAGGTGCATACCCTCACTGTCCTGGCCCTATTGTAAAACCATTAAAATTATGAGACTAACTGACAATAGTGAAAACAGGAAGTTGGGTAGTGTTATTCTAACAGTGGTTCTTAACCAGAAATGCTTCTCAAAATAACCAGTAAACACTTTAATAATTTTAAGAAATAGAGATGTTTGGGCCCCCCACACCTAAAGAATGCAAGAGGTTCCAGGTGTATATGTATGTGTGTGTGTATATATATGTATATACACACACACAACACATATATATACACATATACATACATGCTCGAGTTCATGGCACAGGTTCTCAAACTGCTGCACTTTGGAACCACCTGGTCCACCTGCTGAGACGGGGTCTAGAGATTCTGACGGCCCCACGTGACCTGACCCCGGCGTTCCAAATACTGTGCTTTACAAGACACTGTTACCAAGTCCTAGTCATAACTCTAAAGGTCAGGGGAATGGTGGCATGGGCTCCAGGGAATCTTTCTCGGGTGCTCATGGGTCCATAACTCAGTCACTGACTAAAAAAGAATCGTATTGCAAATTAACATAGAGCTGAGTTTTATGGCATGCAAGGTATGCCTCAATAAAGCTGTGAAAAAGGAAACACGGGAAAGCCTTCATACCTCTCACCACAAAAGTGTTCATGCGTTTACTGCAGGATTTTTAGATGTCATAAGAGAAGGACACACATGCACATTGGCGGGGGGAGGGGGGGCACTATAATTCTGAGCTCACACCAACCTCGAGATGACCTAATCCTTCAACACTTAGCTGTTTTAAACCCAAGGCCAGGATATTGTCAAATCCATTTTTAAGCTTCTCCTAAGGAAGGGTTAGGAGTTAAAGTGCAAGGTCAGAAATGTTGTTTTCTGACTTTTAACACTTTACAAAGAGTGTTGTCTGTACTGAACCAAAAACGGGCCATAAAAGCTCCATGCCTAAGCAGGCATGGCTTCTGTAAGTTCCACGGGCTCTTAAAGTGCCCAAAACGGGCCGGGGTCACACCACGGCCATGAGGCTGGCTCACACAGTCACCGGCAGGCCCGCGTGGCTGAGAAGGGGCCGAGGGGTGCTCAGCCGGCACCAGCAAGCGTGACAATCCACACAGTGAACCCTCCGGACGGAAGTCTCAGTCCCCGAGAGGGAGCTGCACAGCACAGGGTGAGTCACTCGGCATTAAGAGTTACATCTCAATGCAGGTGTTCATCCACGTAAAGAACCGATCGGGGTATCGGACGGTAAAGCAACACTGGTTTGGCTCAGTGGCTAGACCGTCGGCCTGCGGATTGAAGAGTCCTGGGTTCGATTCCCGTCAAGGGCATGTGCCTGGGTTACTGCTCAATCTCCAGTAGGGGGCCTGCAGGAGGCAGCCGACCAATGATTTTCTCTCATCATTGATGTTTCTCTCTCTCTCTCCCTCTCCCCTCCTCTCTGAAATCAATAAAAAATACATTTTTTAAAAGAGAAGGAAAGGGCAAGCGTCACCTGGGTGTAGATGCTGAAGATGTGGCTCTGCACTTCGTCCATGGAGTCGAGGCCGTAGGCCACTGTGCCCAGGTGGAGCCGCTTGAAAACCATCTCGTTCTGGGTAAGAGTTCCTGAAACACAGGCAAACGAGTAACTGGTCCGACATCCGGGAGCTTTTACCAGTCCGAGCAGTAGTGACAGTAGTGACAGCTGCTGTTTTTGAGTGTTTACTACACGTCAGACACTGGTTTCAGCTCCGCCCCTGCTTCTGCTGTGCTGTTTTGCTGGCCTGGAAGCCAACTCCCTTTCTTTTGAAAATGGCATCCAAGGTTTCCATAGGAAAACCACCCCCCCCCCCCCCCCCCCCGTTTCCTGGGATGGTCCAGAGAGAGTGCCAATCAGGGTGCCTGTCTCACTTCACTGGCCAAGAGGGTGGCACATGACGTACACCAGTCCAATCAGATTCTATTCTGAAGGCGCCTAAACCGTGAGCAGACAGAGGTGTGGGCGGAAGATGAGTGGAGTCCGGCCACCCCAGTGGGGGACCCTACAGAGACGACCCAGGGGTCCTGATGCTGACACCTCCGGGACTTCCCCGGCTCCTCTCCTCCCCAAACCCAGTTTCTCTGATGGAGTGAGCCGCTCCGACCTCCGCAACAGATTCCCTTTCATCCCATGGGCACTAAGAGGTAGAGAGGAAGCTTAACCCACATCTCCCCTCCCCAGCCTTCGCTCTTCACCGCTAAGACACTAAACAGCAGAGCAGGAATCGGGGGTGTGGTTACGAGGTCAGGACTCCAAGTCAGACTGCCTGGGCTCAAAGCCTACTTCCGCCCCCATGTGCTCTGACAAGTCACTTAGCTTGGGTTTCATTTGTTCACCTGCAAAAATACAAGGTTCGGATGAGGAATAGCTAACTACATATAAACATGTAAACACCCAAAACTTAAGAAGTATGTGTAGAGCTCTGTTGCTATTATCATCGTCCCATCACAAATGCTCAGTCTTCATCAGAAGATGAAGGAAATCAAGAGCAGCAGGAGGCTCCGGGCACCCTGGGCGGGAAGCTCACCTGTCTTGTCCGTGAGCAGGTAAGAGATCCTCCCCAGCTGCTCAGGGATCGTGCTGGAGCGGACCACCGTGCCCGGGATTTTTGAATCCCTTCGAATCACCCAGCTGTACACGATCTTGCCCATGTCCAGGTTCACACGCAAACTGGCCAGGAAAACAGAGCCGACGTTAACAGGATGCACGCAAGGCCCTGTGTCTCTTTTGCAAACAGCAAGGACTCCGACTACTCATCCTTTGTGCCACCACATCTGGAGTCACTCCCCACAGAAGCCACTGCTGGGGCTCAATCCCCAGATACAACAGGAGTCAACACCACCATCAGATTACATGAAGCTATTCTATCATGGACCAAGGTCACTTAAAATACCGAAAGGGTAGTTGTTTTAGTCTTAGTTTTTTTTTAATTACTAATCCTCTTAACTAATAGACTTTTGATACTCTAGTCATTTTTTTAAATTGTGGTAAAATATACACAACGTTTAAACCAGTTTAAGTGGAGAGTTCTGTGGCATTGAGCACTTTCACACTGTTGTGCATGTACCAGCACCATCCATGCCCACAACTTTTTCATCTTCCCAAACTGAAATTCCACCCATTAAGCAATAATCCCCCACTACCCCCTCCACCCCCCCAGAAACCACCATTCTACTTTCTGTTTCTAGGACTTTCTTTCGGGGTACGTCACATAAGGGGAATCATACAGTATTTTTCCTTCTGTGACTAGCTTATTTCACGCAGCACGTATCCAGGGTTCATCTATGTTGCAGCAGGTCAGAATTTCCTTGCTTTTTAAGGCTAAATAATATTCCACTGTGAGTATTCTATTCACTTTAAAATATTTTATTTCAAAAAAAATTAAAATAAATCCTCAAATTCACTCTTAATCCTCTAAACTATCCAAATTGCTTACTATGTTACTGGCCACCTGGCCATATGAAGATTCACTTCAGTAATTTTCAATCACGTTGTAGATAGAATTTTAAAGACCACAATTTTACTTAACATTACACCACAAACACTTTTTTGCTGGAAACAAGGTAGACTTGTTATTCTTGGAAACCATTACTCCAAGCACCTTGGTGAGGGGTTCGATACCCCTGTCCTGGTCACGCTATTGTACCACAACTACAATCTTGTCCTCAAAAAAAGACAAATTCTAGCTAGGATGATATAGTTATGCAAAAGGAAAGACAATATATCAAGTGTAAAATAGAGATGAGAAGGACTAAAAGTTTCAGGGGAAAGATATGGCCTGCTTTAATAATTATCTACTGATTGCCCTGGCAGGGTAGCTCAGTTGGTTAGAGCATCATCCCAATATGCCAAGGTTACAGTTTTGATCCTCAGTCAGGGCACATATAAGAATCAACCACTGGGGTACATCTACACGATGGAATACTACGCTGCTGTAAGAAAGAAAGAACTCTATCATTCACAACAGCATGGATGGACATGGAGAGCATTATGCTAAGTGAAGTAAGTCAGTCGGAGAAAGATAAATATCACATGATCTCACTCATTTGTGAAATATAATGAACAACATAAACTGATGAACAAAAACAGAACCAGAGACAGAGAAGCATCGAACAGACCGTCAAACCTCAGAGGGAAGGCAGGGGAGGGAAGAGATCAACCAAAGGACTTGTATGCTTGCATATAAGCATAACCAATGGACACAGACTTTAGGGGTGAGCACATGTGCTGGGGTATGGAAGTAGCCAGGGAGAGGTCAACGGGGGAAAAAGGAGACATATGTAATACTATATGTAATACTTTAAACTATAAAGAAGTATCAACCAATGAGCCCTGGCCAGTGTCTCAGTGGTTAGAGCGTCAGCCCATGCACCAAAGGACCTTGGGTTTGATTCCCGGTTAAGGGCACAGGCACATACCTGGATTGCAGGTTCGATCCCCAGCCCTGGTCAGGGAGTATGTGGGAGACAACCAATCAATGTGTCTCTCTCACATTGATGTTTCTTTCTTTCTCTCTCTCCCTCCATTCCTCTCTCCTTCACTCCCTTCCACTCTCTAAAAATCAATGGAAAATATATCCACATATCCTGAGGATTAACAACGACAAAAAGAAGAATCAACCAACTAATGTATAAACAAGTGGAACAACAAATCAATGTTTCTCTCTCTCTCTCTCAAATCAATCAATAAAAAATTATTATTATTTACTGATCATTTACTATGCAAAAAGGAGAAACAAATATCCAATAATAGGGGAACAGAGTAAATTGTTAAACCCAGAATATATACTAGGGCAGTTCTAAAAAAGGATGGGTTTCCAAGTATATTTGATGTGAGAAGTTATTTGCAACGCGCTGCTGTTAAAAGTGGGGGAAAGACTTTGTGGAGAGCAGAATCTCTTTTTCCTAAAATAGAAAGCGCTCTATAAGATGATACATCCCAAAATATTAACAGCAATTATCATTCAGTTGTGAGATTAGAAGTGACTTTTATTTTAATCTTTTGCTACTGTGAATCTTTGTTTTTTTCCTACTGTGACAATGTATTACTGGTATCATTTTTAAACCATTTATTCAGGCTCCAAATGAGGAAAGCAGACAATTGGCCTGTACCATCCAGCTTCCATTGCTAATCAATCTCAAAATTATCTCCTGCTGAGCCCAGACTCAGGCTCAGAGTCCTTCTCCACACAGCCACCACCAACCTTAAAGCTGGCAGATGAGATGAGCTCTAACTGGCTTCCCTATCACAGACTGGGCAAGGCACGATCTTTTGAGCAGAAAGTCCCTTAAGAAAAGATGGATCAACCCTGGCTGGTGTGGCTCAGTTGCTTAAGCATAGTCCCGTCCACCAAGAGGTCACCTGTTCGATTCCCGGTCACAGCGCATGCCCAGGTTGTGGGTTCGTTCCCCAGTAGGGGGCGTTCAAGAGGCAGCAGATTGACCTTTCTCTCTCATAGATATTTCTCTCCCCACACTTCCTCTCTCTCTAAAATCAATAAAAACATATTTTTTAAAAAAAGAAAAAGAAAGGATGGGTCCTGGAGGCACGCACCCTTCCCATGCTACCGCCACAGACCAGGGCTCAGACTCCGGAGGATCCTGACTGTTCTTGTCATCACTCAGCCAAGGGCCCAGCTGGTAAAGAGAAGAAACATCACGGCACCCACATGCAAGCTCATTCTCTGCCCACCTGATGGGAATGATGTTGGAAAACAGGAGGAGGAAGCGGATGATCTGCAGGTACCAGCGTCCAGCGAAGTGCTGAAGGGCCACCATGACCAGTGACACCACCACCAGAGCACCAAAGAGGATCTTCGTGAGACAGTTCACTTCCAGGTCAAACAGGCCAATCTGGGGACAAGACACAAAGAGGGGCTCAGGATCAGCTGGTGCAACCCACAGCCATGAACCCCTGCACCCAGGGGGGACACTGGGACCCTTCCGCACCCACGGCTTTGGCTGAGAGCACCGGGCGCCCTGGGCTACAGTCCATAACAGGCATCTCAGGGACCTCGGAGATTTCTGCTTTCAGCGTTTTTCAGACTTAAGATTCAGACTTGGGAACACACACGCAGGTTATTGCTGCGCTTGGTGGGGCTGCACAATGCATGGTCTCCACCATCCTACACAGCGACCTGTAAAATGACTGTCTACACTCCCAGCATCGGCCCACACACTGAGTCAGATGTGCCTACAAGTTTGGGGCACACACCTCTGGTGGCACCTGATTTTCAGGTGCTGCATTTATTAACATTGTTTGTTTAATAATTACGTATTTATTTCAGTGTATTTTTTCAATGTAACTAGCAAAACAGACCCATAACTTTACTGAAATATGGCCTAAGAGGAGACAAAAACATCAAATACATGTCATTTATAGTTGTAATGGGGGGAGGGGTGAAAATGAATGGAGTTTGGGAAACAGCAATTGTTCATGGAATTGACAAAGGAAATCATTCTCCAATATTCTAACTTAAAGATTGGAGGAGGGGCAACTACCTCAAAGGGAGCTTATCACTTTCAAATAAGTTCGCAAATGTTCTCCCATCTACTCTGGCATGCCAGGGAGATATGTCAAACTCCCATTAGTAACCACGGTTTCTCCCAAGATAGTGATTTGGGAGAAACTTGGGGAAAGTCGCAAGGCACCCATTCCAGGTGATTCTGATATTTGAGAATCATGAAATGTTCTTCATGGAAATTAATCTGCAAATTATAGTCCTATACAAATGCAAAATCTGTTGTTTTGGCAAAGCACCAGGCATTGACAACTCTTAGAAAATTCCACCTTACCAATCAATTTATAATCTTTGTAGTATGGCCTACACTAGACCCAATTCTTAAAAAGGACACATAAGGAAGAAAAAAGAAAACTAAAGTAAAAAAAAACTTAAAAAAAAAAC